CTCTCGCCTTTATCAGGTCCAGATGGTGCTATTTGGGAGCTAATCAAAGATACCTTTTCCAGGTTCTCTCTACTTTCTCAGGGAATGAGCTTATGAGATTAAATAGCAGCAAAGCCCAGAGCTCATAAGGCACAAGCCTGGTATTTTTGAGCGGGAGCAGGAAAGACAGGGGGCCATCGGGCATAAACCTGGTAGGGTGGGCCCAGGTAGAATAAGCAGGAAACTGCACCAAGGCCCTGAGCTCCAGGTCAGGAGTGCAGAGAAGAGAGAAGCAGGAAGCAGAGTAGAGAAGTGGTTTGGCACCAACACAACACTTACATACTTCACAACGACACCAATGCTGTGTATGGCAACACTGAGGAGATATTATTAGGTATCAGGACACTCAACTCCTGGCCTTCAGGGAGCAGGGGGTAGAAGAAAACTCCCCAGGGTGACAACGGGCAGTCTCCCTCCTCATGCACTCTGGAGAACCATGGCCTTGGCACTGCGCTGGGCACCTTCCTTTGTAGTTTCCACTCCCTGTACACGATTGCTCGCTTCTTTGGAACTATCCAGCACGATGATCATAACCACTGCCCTTCCCGTCCTTCTCTCTAAAAGGGTGATCTCTACTCTCTTTCTCGTCCCCACCTTAGTCCATCTGTTATCCTTTCTCTTTCAAGGTAATCAATCCCCCTTGCTGCCTGCCCTTGGTCTGGGTATTGTCTTGGGATTCCCAACATTTAGCACAGTGCGTGGCAATCAGCACATATACAACAGATGCTTGTTGAATACTGAGTAAGTCACCCCACTTCTCTGATTTGGTCAAAGGCCTAGTGAATGATGTCATCTGACTTAGCAGGAGAGACTGATGACTCTCATCATGAGAGATGCAGGGTGTCGGTTTCCCAGCTTTTCACAAACTCATTCCCTCTTATCAGGTTTACAAAGGGAAAAGTAGTTACTATTAATTGAGGAACTGCCACTTCTCAGACAATGAGGTGTATGCTTCGCTCACATCACTGCTTATCCTCACAACATTGCCAAATGGACATTATCTCTGTTTTATGCTGAAGCTTAAAACCAGTTGTCTTAAGTAACTGGCCTAAAGTCACACAAAAGGAAGACTTTGTTTTAAAAGCATGTATAAAATGCCCTATCATGTATGGTCATCCCTCTCCTGGAGAGACTCATTAGTATTTGTGAAATTTACTTACAGCAATTAAAAACAAAAAAAACCCCTAAGAAGTAAAAATCATGTTAATTTGATGCTAGAATAGTGAAAGTGTTGTCAACCGGGATTTATAGAGGTTCCAAGGCAGTTCTACCATATGCATTATCCAGGGCAAACCGTGCCTGTAGTATTAATTTTCTTATCAGATAGATGGGGATTATAATGCCTATTTACTTCAAAAGGAGGTGACTATCAACATCATGTTTGCCAAAGTGCTTTGTTAAGAAAGAGGACAAAGGACCATTTTAGAGCACTGTGCTGGATAGTTTGGTGCAGTGTTTCTCAAACAGCAGTGGAAGACCCTGGTCATCAGAGTTATCCAAAGTGTTAACAGCACATGGGGGAAGTCAGGCTAGGAATCCATATTCAAGAAGCCCCCAGATGATTCTTTGGGGCACTAGAGTTTGAGAATTACCAGGTTATATCAATGTTTCTCAAACTTTAATGTACACATGGGATCTTGTTAAAATGCAGGTTTAAATTTGGTAGGTCTGGAGGGGAGGGGCGGGCAGGCTAAGATTCTGCATTTCTAATAAGCTCCCAGGGGAAGCCAATGCTGCTGGGGTCCATGGACCACTTTTGAGTGGCAGGGACTTGGAAGGTCTATCCCCACTGGAACAAATTAGCTTTGCTTTGTTCCTGCACCACAGATTGCATCCCCCAACTTCAGACAATATTCTCTATAAAGTCCAGTCTCTCCGTGTTGGTACAAAATTACTTGAACCACTCAAAACCAAATTGGAACACATTCCCTATCACAGGTAAAGCAGTAGCATCCTTTCCAGGTACAAATAGCACATATGTTTAGCATTTGAAAGAATAATTAATTGCTACTACTTCAGTCCTATTCATTGTGCAGAGCATTTTATATATAGTATTTCTAATCCCCACCACAATGCCACGAGGTAGATATTCCTGTTCTGTAGACAAGGAAATGGAAATTTAGAGAGCTTAAGAAATGTGCTCAAGGTCACACAGCTAGTTAGGCATTGCAGCTGGGGTTCCGATCCTGCCCCATTGGGATCCAAAGCCTGTGTGTTTCCTGCAATTCTTTATGGGTCTATATATGATTGTGGTACAAAATGTACCAGCTTTAGAGTAAAAAAAAAAAAATGGGGAAAAATGTTTTTCCTTTGTCAGTCTTTGAGTTTAAGGCTCTGTTGAGGCAGATTCTGGATGGGAGTAGGGGTGGGGATAAAGTTTACTAACTAGTGATCTTTGTTACCTAATGGACAAAAACATGCAGATAGCCTCTTTGTCCATGAGGCCCATAAATCTGATAAGGCAGAAGGAATAAAAAGGACACTTGTGACCAGAGTGCTCATTATAATTGCTGCCTCCTACCCTCAGGCTTCTAGCTGTCAGACTCAGCCCATAAAGAGGAAAAATTCTTCATGACCTTTGTAGCCTATCAACTTCTTCACCCTCTCCTGTATGACGTTTCTGTAACCTTAAAGTTCACACCAAATACAGGTTTACCCTACGATGTATGTGACAGTTGCCACACCTTTGATAAAACTGCCTGCACCTGAAAAAACATACTGTGCAGTCAAATATCTTGAAAATGCAGCAATTTTGAAGATTTTCTTTTGAGCAACAAAATTTTCTACACTTTTCATAAGGTTGATGGGGAGAGAGATGCACGGTAATAAAGATGCTCAGAGAAAGCACAGATACTCAAATGTACCAAATGATGGAAAACAGCTATAATATAAACCACCCAGGCAATAACCATCCAGTGTCTTTAGCATTGGATGAACCGTAGGTCAGTTTTTTAACCTCTTTCCGCTATGACAATAGCACTCCGTCGCTTAACTATGATGTTTTCTAAAGATTCACCTTTAACAACAGTACAATTACCTACTTATGCAATACAAAAAGATGCGATAAGAAAGTAACATCTGCAATTAAATATGTATGTATTGGTCTAAAACCAAACAGCGATATTTGAGCTATTAAGGATTATAAACTGATTTTGTTCCTACGGTATTCTCTACACGTGATGTTTCAAAAAACAAAGACTGAAACCTAAAAAGAAAATCTTTAGTCTGAAAACTCACTTAAAAGCATTTTTAGAATGTGTGTGTGTTTTAAATAGAAGGTAAGAAACTGAGTCTGGAGCGTTGATTTCCAACTAATAAAGTATTTCCTATTTTACTCCCCAACACTAGGAACAGGTCCAATATCAGATCTAAACTGCAGGGCCACAGAAACCAATTTGACATTTTTCAAATCAATTTGAGAGACTTTACTGAAATGTATGGATACGAACATGTTTGCAATGAGTCATAATTTACAGGACCTTAATGGCCAATGAGCCTTTCTTCCTACATTCAGTATCATTCCCAAACCAGCTGGTGATACATTTTCCAGGCCCTGATAATTTTTTGACAGTTACCAGATCTCTGTTACAAAGCCTGCCACCCAGTTCAGGGATAAAACCCTTTTCTCGTACTGATTTTTAAAAGCTATCTAAAAGAAGAGAACGTGATTCTCTTTCTGAACTATAACTCTCTCCAACCAAGCAGTTAATGCCTTTCGCCAGCGTATGGGCGCGGTACTTTTAAGACCCTAAAGAGAAGCTGAGTGGCTTTGGGGCACTCCAAGTAAAAAGGCTGTTGGAAGGGTGAATGGAGAACAGCTTTGGGGAAAGGCAGACATAATAACAGGATATGTTCGTTTCTAGAGGAAGCAGGAGCTGCAACAGCCCCTGGGCAGGAAAGGCGGAGTCAGCAGCACCCAAAGGAAAAGGGCGCGCCAGGGTTTGCAGGAACCTGGCCTGCTTAGGGACTCTTGTCCGTCTGCTTCGAGACTGGTGAGCACCTCACCCGTGGGGGACCAAGCTCACGCCTCCTGGCACTAGTGGTTACAAAGAGGTACCCATCTGTTCACTGCCGCCCCTGCCAAAGACGGGCCGGGAGGCGAAGAGAAAAAGCAGGCGCCGTGGCAGGTGAACTTGTCAACAAGTCAGCCCTGGACGCTAGTCCCTGCCCAGGAAGGACCTCGGAGTCCACCGGCTGGAGCCGCTGGGAAGGCGCGGCGCGCCGTGGGCTGGGCTGACGTGGGCGCGGGCGCTCCCAGCGCCGGGGCTGGGGGCCGGAACGCTGCGCCCCGGCTCCCCCGGGCTGACGCACGCTCTCACGGCGCGCGCATCCTCCAGACCATCCCAGGCCGGAGGGAGCGGGCGGGGGGGGAGGGGGAAGGAAAGGGGCTGATGCGGCGCCTGCACCCGGCTCAGCAGACGGAGGAGGCGACCCGCCGGTCATCCGCCGCCGGTGGAGGGCAGAGGAGGCAGCCCCCGGCTGGCGCCCCCGACCGCCCCAGCTGCCGGGCGTCTCCCGCTGCAGCATGCAGCCCTCCCGGCGCGCGC